TTTACCTTTCCTCTCTCTCTCTCTCTCTCTGTGTATTTCTTTTTTCTTTTGATTGATGGTGGGATTGGTCTTTTGAGAACAGAAGCAGCCCATAGATCACAATGGAGTTGATGGGTTCCACTTCCACTTGATTGCCGTAACATCGTCAGATCACCACAGGATTTTCGAGATTGTGCTTCCCTTTTGGTGTAGTTAGAGCTTGTTCATTGCTTCTTTGGTTGTTTGGGCCGATTAGAACCTAGTCACATGAAGAGATCTGCAGTTGTAAGTGTCTCTGTTTCTCCTGCTTCACGCTTGGATTCCTTTTTCCTCTTGACGTCTTGAGGTCAATTGTTGAGCTCTGCAATACGGTTATATCTGAATGGATCTTAGTTTGTGTAAAGCTAGTTGGTTCTCTTTCTTTCTTCTGATACTGGAATGTGGATCTGTGATGGAAAATACATCTGCTTCTAGTATTGAATCTATCATTCCTTTTTCGTTTCTTTCTCATTTTATTGCAATAGCAGGCCTTTGCTGCAACTTGACCTTCCAGTCATGTATAAAAGAGAGTTTTATTGTATCTAATCTGCAGTCTGCATTTTAATATGGTTTTCGATTCACTTATTATTCTATCGATACTTCGATCTTTTGCAGCATCTGAAACAAAATTCGATACACATTGGATATATGATTTCAATCCTGTTCTCAAGCCATTGTGCTATGTAGGATTAATGAACTTTGTAATCCAGGTTCATGGTTTCCTAGGCTGGATTATGAAGCATTTTTTTCTCTTACAAATGAATCAAGGGGAGCCTCTTTGGTGAAACTTATCTCTCCCCCTTGACGATTTCCTTGATGTATTCACCCACCAATGTAAAATCTAGTTACAAGAGAACCAAGTGGGTTTTGATAATATTCTTTTTCCATTCACCTCAAATAATATGACCTATTGAAAGCATATTACCGGTTCATGAAAGTGATTTAAGTTAGTCCTACATTCTGATATAGGTTTTGTTTTCTTCCAATTTTATTTATAAACTGGGATCCTAAATCAATATCATATACTTCCCTTTAGTTTTTCATTTTTTGTTCTGAAAATTGAGTTTGCAAACCCATACTGGAATTGGACCTGCTTAACATCGCACCATTCATGACATCCAACTTTTGACTCTCAATTATATAAGCTAGCATCTCAAGAGATACAAAAGGAGCTGATTGAATTTGGAAGAAACAAATATTTTGAGTTTGATTCTTACAAGTGATCATGTAGAGGATGGATGCTAGAAAATATTTGTGTTAATTTTCTTTTAACCAAATCCCGAATGATTTTGAGATCATTGTTTTCCTTATTAACCTATGGAATTTTGACTCAGCTGCTAGAAACTCTTATGATTCTTGCAACGGTCGGTCAGTCATCATGGGCTGCCTTGTCTACTTCATCCTGCAAGGAGATGGGATCAAGCACGTACCGGCCACACACTGTCACTGTAACAGAGTTTGGTGCCGTTGGTGATGGTGTCACGCTAAATACCAAAGCCTTTCAGAATGCTATCTTTTATCTCCATTCATTTGCAGATAAGGGTGGGGCGCAGCTGTTTGTGCCTGCTGGAAAGTGGCTGACTGGAAGTTTTAGTCTCATCAGCCATCTCACTATATCACTAGACAAGGATGCCGTAATAATTGGATCCATGGTGAGTGTGTAGTTTCATATCAAAGCTATGTTTGCAGTACACGGTAGAAACAGTTTAGATTGCTTTGTCTCCTGCCTTGGTTTTTATATTGGAAACTAGACATGTCCCTGTAACATAAAAACAGCAGGCATCGAGATTACTTGTGAAGACGGTCCCAACTATCTAATATTTGAGGTTGGTTAGACTAGTGGCACTATCAGTTTTTGTCAAGGAGAAGATGCATTATGTGTCTCTTTGAAAAGTTCACAAATTGTCATGAACTGATGTACTTCAATTTTCTGCACACATCCTTCAGATGATGTAGTTGCCGCTAATTACACTGAAAACTAAATCTGATGTGATACTTCATTTTACTGAAACCCTCCTGTATCGAGGAAAAAAAAAATCTTATGAAAGAAAACTTTGTAGGGTGGCTTGCTTCTGTTTATTTTTCTATATTCTCTCTGTTTACATATAAAATTGTGTATGATCTGTGAAACATTATCCATTACACTTTAATACAGGATTCCTCTGATTGGCCAGTCATTGATCCATTGCCATCATATGGCCGGGGTAGGGAGCTACCTGGTGGAAGACATCAAAGCCTCATACATGGGTCCAACCTGACTGATGTGATAATAACAGGTCAGTAAATCTTGAATGAGTTATGCCTAATGTTTCTCTCTTAATTTACAGTGGTAATGAGTAATGGCTCAAAGGCAACCGATATCTTATTGATTATTGTGCAATTTCTATTTAGTGAGCTGTTGTATTGGATGCTTTTGAACATTCCAATTTTATTTTTGCTGGGCATTATTCAAGCAACATCCGAGCACAACAATCTGAATCTTTATCCTTAAATAGAAAGGCCAGGGAATACATAAGAGTATAGTGTCAAATAGTTGTCCTGATTTCACTACGAACTTGTTTCAGGTAGCAATGGGACTATCAACAACAATCTGTATCTTTAAATAGAAAGGCGAGGGAATGCATAAAGAGTATAGTGTCAAATAATTGTGCTGATTTCACTATGAACTTGCTTCAGGTGGCAATGGGACTATCAATGGCCAAGGCAGCGTTTGGTGGGATTGGTTTAACAACCACATTCTCAACTATACTCGACCACATCTCATAGAACTCATTTACTCAACTGGAGTGGTCATCTCAAATCTTACATTCATTAACTCACCATTTTGGGCCATCCACCCCGTATATTGCAGGTTTGTCCATCCTAGTGTATGTATTTATTTCTCTTATTAGCTCTGTAGATTGATGTTCGAGTGGAGCTTTTATGAGCTAGGGGAGACTTGAGACTGCTTTTATTGGATTAACAGCCAAGTGCTCATCCAGAATGTCACAATCCTTGCCCCACCCGATTCACCAAACACAGATGGAATAGATCCAGGTAATGATAAAGATCTACAGCTACAAACTGTGGTGATACTATTCAGTATCAAGTAGTCGTAGTAATGATAAAGATCATGTTCAACTGAAGATGTTTATAATTAATTACTTGCTGTTTCATCCAACAAAAAATGGATAATGCTCATCTTCACTGAAATCCAGTAGCTTGCACCATTTGGTCTTTATATGACTCCTGTTCAGTTGCTAATTTTCATTGTGCCAATACTTCAAACTTTAAAGTTCTCAGTTTTACATAAAAAAAACTATGGCTTTGCACAGATCATAAGAAAATCATGCACATAGCCTATATTATACTTCTGTGATTATGATTTTGTTGAGATAATCAACTGTATCATATAGACTTGAAACAAAGTGCTGAACTAATGCAATATGGAAAACTTAAGTGCTGAAATATAGACCATTCATCTATGAACTCCACTTTGCAAGCTTGTGTCAAAAATCCTGCAATATAGCTTAATTGCTTGATGCTCATATTCAGGCACTTTTGGAACTTATGATAAAATTTTAATGAAGAAGAATTCCTTGTTAAAAATTTAGTGATGAGTATGTGTACCAATATTTTGTCAATCATTTTAGCTCAAGCAAGGATAAATCACCAAATAGGTAGCTTTCTACTTGTGAGTCCCAATTTTAATATAATGAAAAGTTGAAGATTTTTGCATCTTAAGTTCTTACGCATTTTCAAATTTAAGCATTATTTAGTTATGCAGTAAAGATGCAGGTCAATTCTTATTCTTGTGATCATCATGATGTTTCCTGTCATGGTCTGAGATGCTTGTCCTTTTTATTTCACATTCTAAGATTGAAAATTTTGTTTTTAACATTTGAACTGGTATTGTGTTAATAAAAGAAGTTGGCATGAGTGGCCGTGAGTGTTCTGCATATCATTCCCTTGAAATTCTTCTCAAAATTTTGATTATTAAATGTAAACAATGATTTCGCTCATGTCATTCAAATGAATCCAGATTCGTCCAGTAATGTCTGCATTGAAGATTGTTACATCAGCACCGGTGATGATCTTATTGTCATCAAGAGTGGATGGGATGAGTATGGCATTTCTTATGCTCATCCAAGCTCCAACATCAGCATCCGACGCATCGTAGGAGAAGCCAAATCAGGTGCAGGCATTGCCTTTGGGAGTGAGATGTCTGGTGGCATATCGGATGTGGAGGCAGAGGACATATCTCTGTTTAATTCATTGTATGGCATCAGAATAAAGACATCTCCAGGACGTGGTGGGTATGTTCAGTACATCCACATCTCCAACGTTGTTCTGAACAATGTCAACATAGCCATTGGTATAACTGGACAATATGGTGAGCACCCAGATGAGAATTTTGATCCAAATGCACTTCCCATTATAAAAATGATCACCCTGGAAGACATTAAGGGAACAAATATCAAACATGCTGGCACATTAGAAGGTATTCAAGGTGATAACTTCAGCAGTATTTGCTTGTTCAATGTCCACCTCAATGTGACCTCAAGTTCTCCATGGCAATGCTCATATATCCAAGGCTCTTCTAACTTGGTCTCTCCAGAATCATGTGAGCCACTCAGAAACCCATACCAAACCTCAGTTTGCTACACAGCTAACCATGTAAGAACTCAAAATCTGGTGCAAGCTGCTTGAGTAGCCTGTTCAGAGTTTTGGCATCATCCTAACCCAAGTCTGGCACTGCACACAAAAAAATAATTCATATCAAAGAATGTCCAATTGTCTACAGAATCTGGTACATGCTTTTTTTTTTAAATTTTGTTTATGTATCGACATATTGCTTTGACTTCCAGTTGAAACTGGTAATGCTTTGTTATCATAACAAGTTCGATATGGCTTGAGAGTATGCTGCAACTGACTTCAGTGCATCCTCACAATAGAATACAGTGACTGTGAGATGTTAAATGGCCTTTTCTGTCTTGTGTTTGCTTATGTTTTCCTGTTTTTGTCAGTAAAAACTCAAAAAATGAGGCTTGAGACATATTTATTATTATCAAGCTTTATTTAAGGTTTCCTCAAGAAACATTTCCCCGAGTTGCCTGTGAGGCTATATGTGCTTTTTGCAAGAGATAACCTCTTGATTTCAATTTTCAAACAAACATGTTTTGAGACTAACTAATAAAGTTGTTTCTTATTATACAAACATACAAATAAAGTGAGGCTCAGGCACACTTTTACTACTGGTACTCATAACCTCCTCAACAATGACTAAAGAGCTGCTACTTAAAGCTTAAGAAATCATATTTGCTTTCTGATTTCTAAACAAGTCGAATCACAACCAAAGAGCATCTTAGAACTGCAAGTATTTTATCAGCCAGATTCACCCCAAATTTCTGTAATATAAAAGTAAATGCATCATTAAGAAAAGCAGTTGATCTTATCATTAGATCCAGAAACAAACAAGACAGTTTGCCTTAGGGTAGCCTCAAATCTGCTAATAGTGTGATGTTGCCTGTCAGATATTAGTTATAACTTATAACACCATATGTCAGACAGATTCGAGGTCAGATAGAAGAGAAGGAAATGTAGACGGGGGAACTTGTTTGTGATTTGTTTCAGCTTAGATCTTTTTCTTCCATTTCCTCTGTGGAGGGCAATGACACGAGATGTTCCATGGATTACAGAAGATCCGGGAAGCAGTAGCAGATGGGAATTGGGTGGTCAATTTTCAGTTTCTCTAATTCATTATACTCTTGCATTTGTTGTCTCAATGGCCAGCCTATTATCTTTCCTGTTATTAAACTAATTCTTTTTTGCACTATATGTAGCTTAATAAAATTCTGAAACTGTTCTCTTGCACCATATGTTGTGGATATGGAATAACTTCTGTCAACTGCTGTCATGCTCACAGCACATTGAACTGTTGAGTTAGACATACAAGAAGGTACCTTAGGATTTTTCCTATAGCATTCGCTTCTTGTATCAATTCTCAAGAAATTTTCCCTCATAATAGAAAGTCGTGTACATGAAACACTCAAAGAAGTTTGATCTAGTCCAAACAGTCAGTTTAAGATTCTTTCTTGTGACTTCACAAAAGCATCATTTTTTATTCATAAAAGTGGCATTGCTAGGATTCTTTTAGACCATCCAGTGTCATCTGTTGGTAAAGATCAGTTATTTGCTGTCAGAATTCTTTGAAAACTAGCTACTTAGCTGTTGAGTATTCATAAATGATTCTAGTAATTACAGGAGATTATCAATCTTCGGTCAAATTCTTCACTTGAACATATTTTTAGATTCTGTCACCAGAATCAGGTTAACTTCATATAAATTTCATGCAACAAAGTGAAGAATAAAACAAATTTATTATTGCCTGCAAGAAAGAGCCATACATTGCATTACTAAGAAAAGGAACTTCTTGATGGATTTATAAGCATCAATATCATAAAACAAAAACACCACAAGAACACCATTAAAAAAATGAATAATAAGTAACAATTAGATGAAACCTTATATATATTATTCTGCTAGTCAAGCTAAGAACTAGAAAGCAAGCATATCCTTCCTTCCAGGTATCCTGCCAAAAGATTTCATACAACAGAAGAGGAAGGATCCCAAGCACATGACTATGACCTTTATGTACATGATCAGCAGCCACAGAGATCACACACAAATTTGTCTCATTCTAGATCATTTGATTTCTTGTTTGCTTTTTGCCGACATATTTTTTGAACTTGGTGATTTTCCCATCATTATCTTCTTTGCTTTAATGAGTGACTGCTTGAGCTTTGATATTATGTTATTTGAATGTCGTTGGGAGGGCTTAGCTGGGATGTCCTGTTTAGGAGCCTCTCCTTCTACCTTCATAACATCAGCACATTTCGGAGTCATAATTAAGTTTTCATCTTTAGGATTCTCTGTTCCTTCTTCATCTTGAGCACCTTCTTTATCCTTCTCAGCATCCATAGTTCTAGTAGCACCTAATGCAGCAACCACATTTGTCTCTTTGTCAAGATCTCTGACAGTCTCAGCATAATTTTCCTTGCTTGTAATGCTCTCATCCTTGCTTTCCTTGACAATTGAACATTCATAATCTTTTGCCTCTTTACCCTTCTCCTGAGTCACTTCATGACCTTCAGATGTTTTATCTTGCACAGGAAAGACATTTGAAGCATCACTATTAATACCAGCATAATTGGTGATCTCACCTAAAGTTATCTTATTTCTTGCAGAGTTTTTACACTTTTCTTTGACCATTTCATTACCTGTGGAAGATTTATCAAGCTCTGACGAGACTCCAGCCATTCCAAAAGCTTCGATCAAAGACGTCTTTTCGCTTTCCAGGTTCTCAACCTTGCTCTCCCCTACTACTTCAGCAACAACAAAGTAGCTCTCTAACTCTGTTGAGTTTTTCAGATTATCTTCTTTTGTTCCATCTACTATTTCAGTAACTCCTAAATTTCTCTTTCCATCCAATGCTGCATCAGCTGTTTCAATACCACAATCGAGATTTTTTGAAGTCTCCAATAAAGTCGCTCTATCATCTTTTAAGCTCTTATCCTCAATGTCCTTGACCTTTGCTACAACTTGTGAAGGATCATTCTTCTCTTGGACCATGTAAGCTTCTTCAGGGCCTTTCACTTCCTTGAAGTGTATTTCAGAAATTTCACCAGGAGCATCAACACCGTTTGGGTTATCTGTGGAAGTATTGCTTCCAAAAATATCATCTTTCTTGTCCTCATACTTTTGAGTGCTCACATTAGCCTTTTCTCCTTCTAATGGAACTTCGGCAGTTAAACTAGCAGAATCAACTTTGTTTGTTTCAGTCATTGATTGTTCCTCAACTTCTGTCAACTTGTCTTTCTTCTCATATATGACTTCAGCTTTTGGTTGTGTGATCTCATCGGCAATTTGAATAGCTGAAGTGAGATTTGTTGACTGGGTAATATTTGCAGTAGCATGAGGTTTAGGCATGCCAAAGTCAGTTGCATCTTCTTTCACTGGATTTATTATAGCCACCACATCAGCCTCACTTAAATTATTTAAATCGTTATCCTCTTCTATAGCAACTGTTACCATATCATTTTCTTCCTTTACTGCAACTTGCACAGTGTCACTAGTAGCATCCACTTCATTTGCCTGGTTCATTTTTCGTTCTTCGACTTTTGGTTCTTTAATTTCTGTTACTGCTTCTTGTTTGACATCTATGGTTTTAGCTTCAATCTCTCTACTTTCTTCAGTAGTTATAATAGTTGAACTAGTGCTACTAGATTCTGTTGGATGAACAACAGCAGGAACTACCAGCACATCAGAATCATCTGCAACTTCTTCCACTGGATCATTCTTCTCTTCTACCATGGCAACATCTTCAGGGTCTTTCACTTCCTCAAAAGGGGTTTCAAGAATTTCACCAGTCACATCGACACCATTTGGTATCTCTATGGAAGTCTTGTCTTCTAAACAATCATCCTTTTTATCCCCAATTATCTCAATGCTCACATCTGCAGTCAAACCAGCAGGGTCAACTTTGCTTGTTTCAGCGATCCACTGTTCTTCATTTTCTATCAACTTGTCTTGTGTGACCTCATCAAAAGCTTGAATAGATGAAGTGCCATTTGTTGACAGAGGGGTATTTGCAGTAGCAAGAGGTTCCATATGAGCCTCACTCAAATTGTGCAAACTGCTATCCTTATCCTCAACCATCTCAGCTGTTACAGTATCCTTGTCTTCCTTTACTGCAACCTCCACAGTTTCACTGGTAGCATCAACTTCATTTGCCTGATTCATTGCTTGTTCTTCAACTTCAGGTTCGTCAATTTCAGTAAATGCTTCTTGCTTGCCGTCTACGATTTTAGCTTCTAGCCCTTGAGTTTCCTCAATAATTTTAATAGCTGAAGTAGTATTACTGGACTCAATTGGATCAACAAAAGCGGCAACTTTAGACACTTCAGAGTCAGCTGCAACTTCTTTCACTGGATATGTAGCCTCCAATGGAATCTCATTCTTATTTTCCAAACCGTCATCCTTGTCCTTGACCATTTCAAGACTTACAACACTGCTGTCTTCCTTGGTTGAGACATCAACAGTCTCACTAGAAGAACTAGCTCCATTTACCTGATCCATTACTGGTTCTTCAACATCTCTAAATTCTCGTTTGTCATCTGTGATTCCAACTTCTGACTTTACAGTCTCTTCAGCACTTCCAACAGCTGAAGTAGCAGCAGCAATCTCAATCAGGTTTACGACATCAGGAACTTCAGAAAAACCAGCAACAACTGCAACTTCTTTCACCGCGTCTTCGATTGTTCTGCTCTCTGTTCGTTCTTCCATGGTATCCTTCATGATCTCTCCAGCTCCATCAGATGATTCAAGAAAATCTGAAACCATATCTATGCTTTCTGATGCAAAATTCTCAACTTTCATGTCATCTTCTGACCTGTTTGAGTTGCTTATCTTTTGCTCTGAAGAATCACCAGTGACATGAGCATCAACCAAGAATTCTTCAAATTGGGAATCCTCCCCACTTTCTTTGGGTGCAGACTCCGCGGTAGTGCATGACAAAACTGGCTCTTCCTTTTTGTCCTCTGTTTCTGAGATTGTAACTTTGGAGATATCTGAAGCCACTTGACCTTTGACACCTTCAGATTCTTGTTCTTCAACCAAAATCTCACCTGCATTCCCTTCTCCATCTTCTACTGGTCCTGGTGACAGTTCTTGCGTGTCAGATTCATGTTGTTTCTTTGATTCATCTTCTCTTTTCTCTGAAGAAACTGAAATGCCAGCTTTTTGTTGAGGATCTGCTTCATCTTCCACAACCTGAGCAGACAAAGCCACTGAATCTGACATCTCATTGTTACTAGATTCTGTATCCTCTTTCACATCCTCAACAATGGATTCATTATTTTCTCTGGATTTTTCTTCTGCTTCAGTGGCAACAGCAGCTTCAACATCTGTTGAACACACCATCTTTAGCTTTTCTTCCTCATCCATCTTTTTAGGTTCTTTTGGATGGGAATTAGTCTCTCCATTCATGTCTATCTCCTCGTTGATAACTCTTTTCTCCTCAACAATCTGCAGATTTTTTTAATAGTCGGATATAAATTGAAAAAAGAAAAAAATATTTGCATGAAATTCCTGCATGCCTCAACTGCAATCAATATACAAATGCTAACAGGCATTTAATCAACATTTTAAGAATATTCAAATATGTTGTCTTGAAATTCCAAAGGAGCCGAGACACATGATATTATAATATCATGCCAAAGCATTTCAATGTTTCTTCTAGTGATTTTGAAATAAGAAAGATTTTGTGGTGATTGGATGTTAAAAAAAGAATGTTTTTTTTTAATATTAAGCAGGTTTCTTACAGACAGCTAAACATTTTATTTTATTTTATTTTATTTGCATGAAGAAGAAGAGAAATTGAAGTTCAAATAAAAAAAATTTGAAGTCTGCCAAAACATTGCTTCCTTTTCTTGAAGTTATTGAAGTAGAAACCTGAGTTAGTGTAAAACCTTCTAATTATAATAATTTCAGAAGCAACTCAAACATTTCAAAAAAAAAAAGAAAAAAATCCAGAAACAATGTCACCCACATATTCCAAGTTCTTCAATGTAATTTGTGTGTGAGTGAGAGAGAGAGAGAGAGAGAGAGAGAGAGAGATCAAACCAATTCTAAGTGGATCATATAAGCAATTATCAGTATTATTCCTCAAATAAGGAAAATTAATGCAGTGTTCAGAAATAAAAACCATACTACTTACTCCACTAAACAACAGAATGAAGAACATAAAAGTGGATCATCAGATAGAATGGAGATTGGTGATTTTAAGAACTACAGACTGATGAAGCTGCTCCATGTCAAGTGACCAATCTATTGCAACACAAAAAATACTTCATGTTCACATCATGCCACAAAAGTATTTTGACAAAGGACAATTCCTCTTCAATGAAGTGCATCAAGATGAGGTAATAATAGACTCCAGTTGTTGAAGAGAACATTGAAAAGTTAGACACTCCTCATTTACAGGATAGTTAATAAATTGCAATTTCTTATTGAAAGGTATAAAACAGAGAAGGCTCTTCAAAACTTTCTTGAGAGATTGAAAGAAATGATAAATTACTTCATTCAGGTTCATTGGTCATTAAGAAAGCAAAATGAGAACAGCCTGATCTCATGATTGATGAGCACTTAGAGAAATTTAGAAGTTGTGACCAAAAATAGACAAACTGTATATAAAAAAAAATAAACACAGAAAATTGAGGTAAAGAGAAATCTGATATCTGATCAAAGCTTTCTCCCAGCAGCACAACACAAAAAGACTCTTGTCAATAATTATCAGGATGGATGTAGAGGCCAACTATTTCAGGTACCTCATCAGTTGTTTGATCTGTTGGCACAGCCTCAGACTCCATGGATTTGGGCAAGCTCAAGGAATCCTTCAGCTTCAGGAGGAAGAGGAGGAGTCAAAGAAGAGGAGAGCAGACAAGAGATACTTCAGATTTGGTACAGTGATGTAAAAAAAGGACCACAAGTTCAATTATGGAGTGAACAGTCCATGAGCTCTAGAAAATAAGGCAACAGAAATCCTCCTTAAACCTCTTCTTCAAGAATTTAAATGGCCATTATATAACTGAACAGTCATCATTAATATGAATTCAATTGTACTAATTAGAAATATCAATTCTAGGAATATAATAGATTAAAATGACATGTTTGTTCTTTGTTGATCATATGTCATAAACAGATATATTCCAGAAAAAATGATGTAATTGTCATGGTGATCATAAAGTAGACCAGAGGGAGTGAATCAGGCATCCATGGAGGAAGGAGGACTGAATCATCAGCTGTTAAAGGTATGACAGCACATTCTTTTCTTCTTTTTCCTGCAGTGGCAGGCTGCAGGAGGGCATGAGGTGATGAGCCCACCAGGCTTTTCCAAGGAGAAAGTGTTGCATGGTACTCCTCTGATGATGCTCAGCCAGGTGATGTGGTTTCAGCTTAGATTGCTGTTATGGTCACATAAGATCAATCACTGTCTCTCTTAGGCTACAGTAATCAAGATTTGCTAAGCAGCAGAAGAAGAAACTAATATAATCTTCTGTTATTGGATTGTTAATAAGTTGAAATTGCTGGTTTCCTCACTCCAGATGTCAGATATAAATGCAAAACAGAGTATGGAAATAATTAATGGAAAAGATTATTGCAAGCAAGAAAAAAAAACACTGATAAGAACACAAAACCAAGTTGGAATCTTGTAGATTAAGTATATTAGAATATTGAAAAATTAATATTAATGAAAGAGAATTGCTTCAAGCAAAAAGGAAAGAAATCACTGATGAGAACACAAAACCAAGTTATAAATAAGCTAAAAATCCATTGGATTATGTGAAGATTAGAACAAGAGCTGAGTTTTTCCCATGTCAAACACAGCATTTTCCAAAACAAAAAAAAGTGCTATTGATGCATTATGGATGAAATAGCTGTAGCATTAATTTCATGTGTGCTTGTGTTGCGCAAGAAGGGTCATAATCAATCTTTTCTCCCCCTTCTGTTCTTCTGTTTTCTCTTCTTCTTGGATGGCCCAGGAAAAGAAAAGATGCCTCGAAAGATGTGCTGGTGACTGCATGCCACGGTCCCAAAAGATGCAGAAAAGGTGATGAGATGGGGCACGCATCAGCACATGTTCTGCCATGAGCGGGGAGGAGCTACCATCATTTGCCAGCAGTGATCTCTGAGCTCCCACCATGGGCTGCTCGATGGGTTCCCTGTTCCCCATGTTGCTTTCCCTCTGGCTGTAGGTGGGTGACGAAGCCCTGCTAATGCCCACATAAAGCTCAGCATTTGGTAGGTTTGGACAGCTGAAAGCCATGCGCTGAGCTGCTCAATGGTGCCCGAGTTGGTCCAGAGTTGCTTTCCACTGCTGCAGTGACATGCCCGGAGTGGGAGACTCGAGTAGCCTAAGCTGGCAGCCAAAGCTTTGTGTAGATGACAAGTTGTATCATATCAAGATGATAGCTTTGATGGGTGAAGTGTAAGCAGAAAGCATACAACCATACACATTTGACAATGGCAATGCAGTCACAACAGTCCACAATTCTGACAGACTGATTCATTTGTTGTTTGTGAATGAAGCTTCCAAGCTCTCATCTTAATCAATGTGCTTTGTCTCTTGATGATCTAAAGTTCTGCCCTTCTGTTCCTCATCTTCATGTCGCCTAGCAAAAGGAAGTGGAGTTCCTTGATGACTCAAAGTTCTTCTCAGATACTGGGTGGGTGGCAGAAGAAATGCTTGTCATTCTCATGCATCAGTATCCTAATTGTTTTCCAGCTATGATTGTGGGTGACAGATACCCCTAATTTTGAATATTTGTATCTTCCACTTGTATTTATGATCACCACAAAGATGTGATCAGAGATAGACTGGCAGAAGAAAAGCTTGTCATTCTCATGCATCAGTATCCTAATTGGTTTCCAGCTATGATTGTGGGTGACAGATAACACTAACTTTGCAGATTTGTATCTTCCACTTGTATTTATGATCACCACAAGGATGTGATCAGAGACAGAGTGGAGATTTCTAAGGTGCTCTTTGAATCAAACAAGACATCATGATGATTTTATTATGCAGGATTTTTAAGAGGATGATTCACTCAAAGTAAGTCTCTCAAACATCATCTATAAAACTAAGACATTCAGGTGTGACCAACATTATCATTGGACACTTAAATATATAAATAGATTTTAAATATCGAACCATAAGAAGTTCATATTTATAAAGAATACTAATTTTAAATATTGACCATATTGATCATTATAATAATTCTAGCAAACTTTCACTGAACTTTTTGAATAAACATTATTTCTAATGCTATATTAAGTCTTTCAAAATATTATGCTCAAGCAAAAAAAAAAAAGGCATATATATTGCACTATTATGGAGCAAATATTGAAAGTTTTAAGATCAATCCATATGGTCTTTTTTTTTCCTTGAAGTCTTTTAGTTAAATAGCTAAAAAGCAATCTTTCTCTATTTATCATGTTTATCGCTAAAAAACTTAATTAAATAAATCACTAATTTTTCATTGTGTTGTCACATAATTAACATGAGTTGATGTCAAATTGATCCTTAAGACTGATCTATCATGTCCGTCTCTCCTAAATTAATCTTGAATTAAAACCTAGATTTGAGTTTTTTTTAAAAAAATCTTGACATCCAAATTATCATGAACAAGGTTAATTACATATTACCTTCTATATTAAAAAAAATTATATTTGAATCTATATAGTTCTAAAAGTGAAATAAAGAATCTTATTTGCACTAACGTCGTCAGTTGCATTGACAAAAAAATACAACACATGATATTATGTGCTAAATTGACAATAAAGTGATGGATAAAAAAATAATTTTAATATTTTATTTTTATTTTTGTTAATTTTATCGACTAAAAGATAATTTCAATATTCTATGTACTAAAAACAGAAAGGATATTGAAATTATCTTATTGCCCATCACATTCGTGTTAATTCAATATATTATGTCATGTATTATATTTTTCATCAATGCAACGGATGACGTTAACATAAATGAGGTTATTTGTTTTACTTTTAGAACTATAGAAATCTCAGAATAATTTTTTTAAGTATAAATGTATTAATATATTTTGAATATCGAACCATAAGAAGTTCATATTTATAAAGAATATTAATTTAAAATATTGACCATATTGATCATTATAATAATTCTAGCATAACTTCTTGGATGGTATGAAATAAACATTATTTATAATACTATATTAAGTCTTTTAAAATATTATGCTCAATAAAAAAAAAGACTTATATATTGCACCATGATGGAGCAAATTTTGAAAGTTTTAAGATCAATCCATATGGTTTTTTTCTTTGAAGTCTTTTAATTAAATAGCTAAAAAGGCAATCCTTCTCCATTTATCATATTTATGGCTAAATTACCTAATTAATAAATTATTAAATTTTCATTGTGTTGTCACACAATTAGCATGAGTTAATGTCAAATTGGTCCTTAAGATTGATCTATTGTGCCATCTCCCATAAATTAATCTTGAATTAAAATCTAGATTTGAGTCAAAATAAAAAAAAAAGAAAAAGCTTGACATCTAAATTATCATGAACGAGGCTAATTACAAATTATTTTTTATATTTAAAAAAATATATTATGATTCTTATAGTTTTAAAAGTAAAACAAATAACTTTATTTTTACAAATATCGTTAAGACATAACAAATGATGTCATATGCGAATCATGAAAGTAATGGGTAAAATTATAATTTTAACATCCTTTGGTTTCTAATGATTTTACTGATTAAAAGATAATTTTAATATCCCGCGAGCTAAAAATATAAATGGTATTAAAATTACCTTATTGCTTATAATTTTCATGTCGATTCAGCACATGATATCATATGTTATATTTTTTATTAATACAACTAATGATATTTATTCAAATAAAATTATTTATTTTACTTTTAAACTATAAAAATTTCAAAATAAATTTTTTGAGTATAAAGATCACAATACTAAGTTATGATTCATTAATGGGCTCAATATGGGCCTAACACAGTGAGGCCCAAATAGGTTCATGATTTTGCTCTACTGACCCGGGCATAAGTCGCTGCCAAAGAAAGTGCGCGCCACCTCCTCCTCTTCCTCCCCAAAAACCCATCCATCTCGTTCCAAGTTTCTTCGTCGTCGTCGTCCTCCACCTCCCCCTCCCCCTCCCACTCCCTTCTATGATTTGCACAGCAATGAAGGGGTTCTCCACGTACAGGAAACCTTCACTACTTCACTGCGATTCTGTTTGCGTTCATAAAGAAGGTTACAGTGGAACGACGCTGTCTTGAACGCTTAGTCTCTGATCTTTACGCTGCATCTTGATCCGAGTTCGGATGAACTGTTCCCCCAAAGTTCTGATTTTTCTTAAGCTTGTGGTAAGTTTGAAGATTTCTATTAAGTTTCTTCTTGTTTTCTTCAGATATTGAATGTTCTGTAAATGGGCTGCTGTAGTATATATTTGATGGGCAGTGTGGGTAATGCGATCTGATTATGGAGATTATGGGTAGGGCTTGGTTGATTGTTGTTGTTGTGGGATTTTTCTTCGTTACCCTTGTTTCAAATTTAACCTACTTTAAATCAATGTTATATTTATGATGGTTTCGACAGTGTTCTTTCTTTGTTCTCCGAGCATTCAGCCCGTTCATGAAGGGGGTAAAAGCAGACTATTTTCTCAAGAAATCTTAAATAACTGATGTTCCTAGGTTAGCTTTGAAACACCAAGATGGTGCTTAAAGTTCAGTGTCAGTTTTTTAGAATGTTTGATTGCAGTGATCTCCATGATATGTTTCTAGAGCTAGTACATCGTTTTAAGTCAAAATAGAAGAGAGATAATCCGATCCAAATATTTTGATGGACTTATCTGCCATGAACAATGGTTCCATTTGTTCCATGGTATCTATCTACCTAACCTCATCAAACGTTGAAAGTATAGGTTGCCTGAGAATTTGAAGCCCTCAGCTTGAGAAGCTAGAGGAAGTAAAAGAAGGTCTTTTTA